AATATTGGCATAACTAATATAAATTTTGCCAATCAAAATTTTATTTAACTAGGTAAGATGCTATTTACAAAAGCTCTGGCTTCATAACAAATACGACACCCATACCTAGACAGATATTGTAAGATGGGTGCTTTAAGCATGCAAAGTGAATGCACTCTCGGTCCTGGGCTACAAGTACATCACAAACATACAAGTCCACAACTGAATGAAGGTGGTTTTCAGTGTAAAAATACGTATAAAAGAATCAACACACACACACACACACAGGTGCAATCTTCTACATACCTCAGTGGTGCTTCTGCTACAGGCTACGCACTAATAAAACCGCAGAGCGTGTGGACACTTCTGCCATGACTGGAATACAGGAGTGGGAACCACGGGAAGTTCAACAACATTCCCTGTTTTAGATTTTATTTGTGTATTTTACTCTGCTTCATCTTTAGCTGAGCTACAAACAGCCTCACTTCTATACAAGCAATTGTGCTTTTCGACATGCATTGGTGGAAGCCACAAGTGCACTCTAATGCCTCTCATCAAATGAGTCAAGGCAACTAGGTTACGTATTACAAAGTGCAGCTATAATTAATCACATGTAAAAAAAGCATAAACTCGGAAAATAAACAGCCTTCAAAGACATTTTAAATGATAGAGCTATAAATTTTTCATACCTTTGACGTCAGGCTTGCTTAATGCAAGCAGTGTGACTTCTTGTTCTATTTGAGTGCGCAAATGCACTTAGCTCACACGTGCAAGAGCTACGACATCAGTGATAAAATAGCTAACTGCTGTCACAAGCTGTGCGCAGTGAAAAGAAAAGTTATTCGGCTAACATGTGCTCCAATAAGAAAGCACTTTTGGGATATGATACTTAACATTTAATCAAATACCACCCCCTCCCCCCTACACTTTCCGTCTGTTGAATTGTGTGAAAATATTTGCCAAGCAGACAATAAAAATAATGGACTGGCAAATATCACATAAGTGAAATTCATGGACAGAAATAAAGTGATAAAGGACATTGGCGTGTATGTCTATCATCTTTCCTGCACATGTTGCTTTGCACTACTACAACACTTTCGTCAGCAGCTGGCATTAGATACCCCACGCTTTCACGCAGGACACAACGCAACCCACACATTGACAATGAAGCTATAACATACCTTTTTCAAGATACCACTTTCAAGGAAAGTATACAGGAAAAACTAACAATAAAAAAAAACGTTTGATGACATCACCACAATAACATCAAGCAGATTTCTCGATGCCACTATATTTAACTTCAATAAAAATGACCATTAAAACAATGTTCTTATCTCATTCATGTAAGTGTGCAGAATATATTTTCATATTTCATACCAAGCTAAAAGACAGTGCTCGAGTTTTCAGGACACAAGGCAGCTTTGCAGGCATCACACAGAACGTTAAAAAGAAAACAGGCATTTGCAGAACAGAAGGTATGTATCATAGTTATACCATTTACAAAGCTGTGGCATGAAACATAATGTTAGGGTTAAATATTGTTCGACAAGTACAGCAATTGTGATGGCCTCTATTCTCATGCCTTATATGTATTCGAATTCAAGACCTCACAGATGTGAACATATTTATGGTAATAACATATCTGAAAAAGTCTGGGATCAGGCTGCACCGTAATTTTTAAATCGGTATACAGCGCATGGCCCACTACTGACTTGTGTTCCCAACCATACCAAATTTAACAGGATAGTCCCGAATTATTAGCAAAAGTCTGGAGTTAAAATTGGATCCGGCAAGAAGATTCCACTGTCCTGCCTTATCCTTTTTCTCGTTTTTCTAAATAATCGATAAACCTTACCTTTTATAACCAAACTTTTTTTTCGTTTGTAGTACAGTCATTACCACAAAGCATTATTTTAGTCTTGATATAGACTCAAATAGTTTGCAGTACCTTGATCTGCACTGACAATTGTGACAGCCAGTCAACTACTGCTTCACTTTTTTTTTTTCAAACAACGCAACACGGTAGCAGTGGAAACCTGTGGTCCAAATTTGTTGCTCAAAGAGACTGGTGGCACTTGATAATGACAGAGCCATAGCCAGCCCCCCATCCCACCCGTTCTTGACTTCTACCAAACAATAGTTGGCAACCCTACTTTCAAACCATATGAAACTTAAGTAGACTGAAGTTACAGCATACAGTTTCCTTATAGCAGAGTGCAGAAAAACAAAAATTGCACAGCATGTACTGTAGTCGGACAACATATCTGAACGTATCCAAATGTCTTTCAGAACAAATAAATAGTAAACACGATGCAAATTAAGTATATGTGTATATTTCTAACAAAAGCAAAGCACATACACATTGGTATGACTTCATACACAAAAGCACCAATGAATTCGCTCACCATAATCAAAGAAACAGTAAATAAACAAAAACAGAACTGCAATACAGCAATTATCATATAATCACAGCATTAATCACAAGAAACACATCTACAATCAGAATAATTAAATCATCAAGTGGAGTTTTTGGAAAAGAAGTACATACACGCGTTGCTTCAGTAAGCAGTAAAGCTCTTCACAGTGACTGTTCGTAAAGCCCAAAAACACACACAAACAGTGTGAATGATCTGGAACGCTATATTAGAGAGAGCAAAACAACTTATGTGCATAACAACATGAGATGCTAATTCCATGCTACCAATGCATCAGCATGGTAGTACAGTCTTTCTTACCAATATCTTGTGAATTCTAAACCAAAGGTTTGATCAACACTACTTGAGCAGGAACTACAGACATGCTGTAGTCAATGGTACTAAATAATTTCAGTAAAAATCTAGCTCCTGCTTCTGTATTAAAGGGACATTCCACGTAAGATCGAACAAAGAATGGCTAGTCAACCTCTTGAATTTTTTCAAAATTTTATATATTGTTGTCTGATGACTGGAAAGAGGAGATCCACAATTGGTTTCGCTGTAAGAAATTTTTTCAAAGCACAGTAAATCACTAATTATGAACAGGTGAAGTGCCCCGCTTACCTGCTCTGCTGTTTTTTTTTTCTTTCGAATTTGTCGATGAAATATACAAAATATATTAAAGCTACATACCTCAAATTTGTTTAGCTAAATATAGACGTCCTTGCACTGATGATCAATTATATTTTGATTTTCTGCGTAGTGTACAATTTGTGTGTTTTTGTGTTTTATTGTGTTTTTTAGTGTACAATTCTCGAATTTGACCTATAGATTTTTTTTTGCCTAGGGTACAGGCCTTTATTCTAAAAAGGGCCTATGACAGAGCAGTGAAAATCTCGCATTCCTTTTTCAGCATGCTTATTTATAAAACTACCAAAGCTTATATTAACACCATTTTTCAATAAAAAGATATAATTGTGCTAACTTCAAGAAAAGAGCATTCAAGGGAAGCTTCTGATGATTAAAAAAAATTTTGGTATTTTTTTTAAACTTCCCCCCACTTATTCTTCTGCACATCAGCTTTCACAATAAAAAAAATTGTTGCATAATGTGGTTATACTTGCAGATACAGCCCATCAAAAAAATGCCTTTGCACAAGGATAGGCAATTGTAAATTAAACTCCCTGCCCGCTAAGTATGCAATCCAAGCCTATACTTCACTTTTTTAAAAGGCAAGCAGCCCTGAAATAGCTGTCCACTGCACTGAGGCCTGCAAACTATGTAAAAATGTTAGGATCAAATTTGATAATTTTCAATATAAACTGCACACTACACAGAGAATCAAAATATAATTGGTTATAAGTGCAAGTACGCCTATATTTAGCTAGACAAATGCGAGTTATGTAGCTTTATATTAATTTTGTGTAATTCATCTCCAAATTCAGAAAATTAAAACAGCAGAGCAGGTAAGCATGGCACTCCACCTCTTCATTATTATTGATTTACCACGCTACAAAAAAAATTTCCAACAAAATAAATTGCAAATCTCTTCTTTACACTAATCAGGCAACAATATATAAAATTTTGAAAGAAATTTAGGAGGTCGACCAGTCATGCTTTGATCGATCTTTCGTAAAATCACCCTGCAATAAAAGCACAGACTGTTTAATATTTACTGGGATAGCACAAGCACTCGGCAATGCCTTACGTAGGAACTGATTTCCAACTTCCATAGTTACTCTTATTTTTGCAATAGATTAGTTCCGAGATAATGCACATACAGTACTATAGTTCATTCCTAGCAGACTTGTCCAACTCATAAGGGCGCTGAAGCCTGGATTAACAGCATGTTTGTGCATGCCTCCTGACTGCTGTGTTATTCCAGCGATGCAGCAAAAAAATTGCTTTAGAAGGGCTTTGTTTTTCATCTATAGCACTGTGCGAGTCCCTTATGTTTTGGATAAGCCTACCATACAGCGAGAAATGAAGCGGCAAGAAGTGTTTTGGCGTGCTTCCAAGTACTGGCCACTGCTGCGAGCGTACTTCAACTCAGCATTAGCGCAACAGAAAAAAAAGCTAGCACATTGCCAGCACCCTAGTTTATCACACTTAAAGTGAGCCATCACAAACTCCAGGGTAACATTCAGACACCAGAGTAAAGCACAGCCCACTGCTTGCACACTCCAAGTAAACGTTTGGCAGTCTGTACAGCAAATAAAGAAATGATAGTGAAATTGACCTTCAGATGACGTAGCTATGAAGAAAACTGTTCAAGAATGAATTGATGAAAGCATGATGCTAAGATCAAGCGTCTTTTTGTGTTCAGGGCCTGACTAGGTGTTCTAGGAGGAAAAGAACAGGCAGCTGACAGGCTGCAAAGAAATTAGATGACATCTACACCACAAGTTTCTTGACTAGTTGGTGTTGCAGCCAGGAACAGTAATAACAATGTACATAACATTCTTGTCGAGTTAAAAAGCAAATTAAAAAAGACAGAACAGCCCATTATGAAATATTGAAAATGGCTGACTGTATATTGTAAATGGAAAAAGGATTATTGTTCATAAACTTTTTTTATGATGCATTGAATAATAATAATATGTGGGGTTTAACGTCCCAAAGCTACCATATGATTATGGTAACTTTGAAAACAAACATATTTCACTAGTGTGTCATTAGTTAGGAAATGTTAATAAAAACAAAACAAAAAATATAACTTGTTCTTAGAGTGCCAACTGATAGTGGCATAATAAACGGCTTTTTCATACAATAATGCACATTGCAATAAAAGATATATGTACATATTACACTTACAACAAAATTTGAAGCTTAACAAAAACAAACTCAACATGAAGCCAGTCAAGTTGAAAACTATTCTGGACTCATTCTGTCCTAGTAAGCGACTATGTCCTTAGAAACACTCATGCTTCTATACGTACAATCACCCATATCTTTAAATGGCGTGCCCGTGCTCCGACATTTCCTGTGCATCCGCACCATATGACAAAGCCAAGTTGAAAAGAGGGTGACGGTAAAAGTACATCAACAAAGCGCATGCCCAAAAAACCATTTCATGCCAATAGGCTCCATCATGCGGCACTGATGCACGGATAAAGTTGCCGCTACGCACGCTAGTTAAAGATTTTGGGGGCTGCACATACATGCAATTAGAATGTCTACCAGAACTTGAAGTACATGGGGGAAAAACCCGTCAAGTTTGTCAGTACCCATTTAAACCCACATCTAACTGGATACCCATGTGTCCATGACAGCGGTGTTTGCAAAGGTCATAAATAAAGAAAGAGACATCTATAAAATGCTAGTAGTTTTCACGATACATGTACCAAAAATGAGCAATAATATCAAACAGCCACACTTGCGTGCCAAAATTCACACAAGAAAAATGTTATACAAAATCTGTTCCTTATTTTCTGATTGAATACTACTACTGTGTGCATTTTCCCCACCTGTACCTTACGATATGCATATACCACATATATATGTTACACTTCACTTCAGCAGTATATAGTATAAGCTCGAAAACACCAAAGTGATTTCATGTCTAGGATCCCACTCTACAATATTGCACAATCGAAGGCTAGTGCATTCACCAGTTCCAAAGCCTTAACCAACAGCAAACAACAAGCACTGCACAAGGATATAAAAGTTATTGTGATATTGCATATTTAGCAGCCAACATCACACAGTACACAGATCTTGTACGGTACAAATGCTTTTAAAAAAGGGTGCACAAGATTGTTTATGCACAGTGCAAAAATGATCGCCAGCATTTTCTGTGGAAGGTCACCTTTGCTATGGTGACCCTATCTGTCAATCCTGTTGGCTGAAATGCACACCCCAGAAGGCTTTCCTCATACACTGTAGTATGCGTAAGTTAATTTGAGAGTTAAAGGCATGTTGACCCTGACAGTTCACAGTAGCACTGCCTCAGCACCTACACAGTGCACGCTGGGAATCGATCTCAAAGCTGGTTATAGAATAGTGTGTTGCCACCAAGCTCCGAGAGGCACAGAAACCAGACACTGAAGAACACTTTGGTCTTGCAGCTCGCCACGCGCACTCATTTGAAGTGTTTCGGCGCTCCTCCCTTACATGTGCACTTAAATGCTGTGCTAACGTAGCTGCATAGGCACTGCCTACTCCTTAGGCGTACAGTAAACCGCTACAATGCTGAGGAAGCACATATTAAGGTTGCGGAAGATCGCTCTCTTCTAAAGCAAGAGCGGATTACAACAGAATGTGGCAGCGAAGTTGGGAAACCACGAGTGCGAACAAGCTCGACCCTTTACTCGAAAATGAGCTGTTTTCGTCAGAAACAGCTCACACTTTTCTATGGCGTTCCCCTTCCGGCCACATTCGAGTTGCCCTGTTTGCAGGATTTTTAGGACGGGTGGCAAAAAAGACATGCATAGCACATCAACATGAAAATACGACTCTTGTGTAACACGAGGCTTTGCCTACACGGTGGCTAAAAATATATTCTGAATAGACAGCATAGGCTGCAGATCTTTTTCATCAGATTTCAATCCTTCGGGCTCCTCCAGCTACATCCAAATTTGTCAAAAGACCTGAAAATGGTTTAGCACTGATACATATACACCAATGCTGAAGCAGTCAAGTTATTTATATGAGTGGAAATGTATGATGTTCCCTGCTGTTGCCCGTTTTGAAAAGTGCGAGAACCTCATCAAGCGTTACACTTTTTCTCTCACACCTTCCATCGACCTCTGTAATGGTGAGAAATAAATATCGCTATAACATTTTAGGTCAATGAATTCTCCGTTGATAGACTGACTAACTGCTTGGACTTAGAATTCTTCTACATTATCGATTTTCTTTCACACTTTTTTTTTTGTTTTTTGGTGGAAGCACTGTTATAGCTTTCATAGGTCTGGCATATTTGACATTTGAAATTTTAAACTCTGAATGTGACTTCTGCTAACAGTTAAGCAGCATTTTTCATAGTACTAGCCGGGCAATTCATGTGCCCCACTTACAAACACTGCTTGGCTGCTAATGGCAGTTATTCCGATGAAATTAAAACATTCAACATAGAAACTATTGATTGTCTACTGCTTCAAGATATTGACTGCATTTTTCGAGGTTGTACGTATTCGGGTTATGCGAGCTGGAATCTTTAACACTATAAGCGAATCATATGCGACCATATCGCACTGTTCTCACCCTGAGGAATTCACACCACCTATGCACCATGCAAGTAAAAGCTTGCAATGTGTTGGCCAATGAAGAATTCTATGCTAGTATGCAGCCAGTCGCTAGCAGCAATTCCATATGCATGCTCAAACGGCACAATGGAGAAACACTGAGCCTCGTGATAAGCTCGCTAATGAATTTGCGAACAGTCAGGCACAGTGGATGGGTAGGTAGTAATTTCTGCACTTCTATTTCATGGTAGTACGCATCAAAGAGTGCGTCATGAGAACCTAGTAGTATGATATCAGCAGCATCAATTATAGAAAAGAGCAGGGGTTCTTGTGCCCTCCTCATGCACCAAGCTCCTCCACAAGGAGGAGTGGAGGCCTCACCCCCACAACCCTCTTGCACAGCATACCCTTATGCTGAAATTAACTCTGTACAAATAACAAACTTCCAAATTTTTGTAAAAATAATGAAATGTTTTTTGGCTACACCCTTGATGCATAAAATGCTCAAGTCACATCTGTGTAGTTTATGAACGTACTTGTTAAGAAAATAAAATATATACAAAATGAAGACCATCATGTGTGGGATGGGCCACAAGTGAGCCTTGGGTCTGCACTAATGCAAGATTTAATAAGAGATGAAACAATACGTGCATTTACAAAATTTCTGAAGACTTGAAACACAGAAAGAATTGAAATTTTTTCTTTCAAATTCATTTTTCTGACTGACAGGCTTCCAGACTCCAAACATCGCTTGCGATTTCCTTCAGGTCCAAGCAATCAGTCAGTTCATATAATTGTAACTGTGGCCTGTGGAAACACAGGTGCAATATACCTTACAATTGATTTTTGATTGACAATTCTAATGGCAACCCGTATCGCAGTTATACAGTCAACTGCATTAAAGTCAGAGTAAATTGCCATCCCACTTATATAGGAAAGTCACAAACAAGAAAAACAACAAAACTTAGAATAGCGTAAATAATAGCAATAATCCAATTATAATTTGAATGCAATGCAATACTATTCGTTAATAGACAGGGAAATTAAAGAAAGTCAAACAAAATTTTCCCATTAATATGCACAAATGATGCGTTATAGTCGTATATATAAGGGCATTGATAAGGTAATTGACGTAACATTTGTGACAAAGCTACAGGAGCCTAAAACCCTTTCGATGAAGGCTCGAAAAGAGAGACACAAGGGTCATGCCAAATTCACGAATGTTGGTCCCTGCTTGTGATGCAAGGCCAGCAAGGTTCCCCACTCTCATGGCTGATGCAGCTGATGGAAACGAGGACAGGCTTCAGACGGCAGTGCGTTCATCATAAACTACCACAGCCTCATTGTCGACGAGTGAATCGGTGTCAGTGTGTGCAGATGGCAGTGTGTGGAAGGGTGACAGATAGCACTGCTGGTTCTGAAAGCTGCGTGTGGCGGCAATGGCAGCTGCGCTGTCATTGCGCATGCGGTTCTTGCGTCGTTTGCTGAAATTCACCTGAAAAAGACGAGAAAGCCTGCTGAAGTAATTCTAGGCTCTCATAATAACATCCCTGTATTGCCATGAATACAGTCGAACCCCTTTATAAGAGACACCAGTGTGCCTACAGTAAAATACGGGTCGATAAGAAAATGCATACGTAGTACCTTGCTTATAAGAGACATCTCATATAAAAGACAAGAATTGCTGCCCAAAGCATGTCTCTTATAAAGGGGTTTAACTATACAATATGCATCTTTCATATCCCCTCATTTTCATCAACACTACGAATAGCACATTTTTTATTGAAAAAGAAACAGTAATACATTTCCAGTCTCTCCAATGCAAAGCTAACGAGCGAAAACACTTGCCCACTTCACCTGCAGGCATTACCAATCCTAAAGTATGCCATGAAACACCGTAGTTTTCTGGGCTATTTTACCTTTATTAGATTATGTCTGTCCTAATGTTTATATTCTTGCTGTAGTGCTATGATTGCGTTTCCCGACATTTGGCAAGTATCACAGTGCAAGATTACCACAGTACAAACAAAGTTTGTCTTTACAAAACCTTCAATGGTATATTTTGTGATATTTATAATGATGAGGTAGCACCTGCACGTCTGAAGATATACTAGAAGATTATCCATGAAACTGCTTTTGGCAAAACATCCTGTACAGTGGCAGGCAACACAGACATTAGTATATGACAGCAGTGAAAGAAATCATCTATATAGTTTGCAGTATCGTTCTTCCCTAATCAAGTTATATCAAAATCATTACAAACCAGCCGCCACAGCATATAAGCAGGTGCAGTACAAATGAGTTCTGTGAAAGCCCGCAAAGTGGCAGAAGGGTTAATAAAGGAGAAATAGACAGCCACCCGTTAGTAGCACGAAGTCACACGGATATCCGTACAAACTTCTTAGAAGCAAAAGCTTCTTAGTTGCCGAAAAATACGTTCTGGCCTGGTGTTCGAACCTCAGAACAATGCTTTACAGGGTGGTCGCTCTACCAATTGAGCTAACCAGGAAGCTAGCCATCGGTAGCACAAGGGCGAATTCATCGACAACTCGAAGCACACGGACACAAGTATTGCATATGAGTTCTGCAGAAGCCCGCAAGGTGGTGGACGGGTTAAGAAAGGGAAAACCCGGCCGAACCCGGGTTTTGGTGCCGGGTTCGAAATCTGAACCAAGACAAATTCTTTGGCAACTAGGAAGCTTGTCCTTTTGAGAGATCCCTACAGATTTCCATGTGGCTTCGTGCTACAAACAGGTGGTTGTCTATTTTCCTTTTCTTAAGCAGTTGTAGTGCTCGGCGGCCGACTTAGAAGACACGGGTTTAATTTTGGCCACATCAGCTGCATTTCAATGGAATCAAAATGCTAGAGGCCCATGTATTGTGCGATATCAGTACATGTAAAATAACTCCCGGTTAATGCAATTATTTTGAGCACATCAATACGGAATTTCTCATAACCTGAGTTGCTTTGGGACACTGAAACCCCATATATCAACACCAGTTGCCTGTGCAACAATTGAAAGCAGTACGTGCCTGTCTGGCACAGCGGCGATGAATCCCTGCTTATTTTTCCCGTACGACCTATGTGTCACCGACAGTCATAAGTGCGTATTCGCGAGTTCACCAGCCTCCTTTCTGTCACAAAGACCCCCTGCAGAAGTTATGGCACAGAGTCAGGGGCACGATTCTCGATGGCTACACCTAATGGACTATCCTCTTTGGCCTCCCCTGATTGGGGGGAGCTAGGTGAGCAGCTTGTCCTGTTTCTGGTCTTTCTACCGCAACGTCATTTTGACGTCGTGAAACTTTCGCAACTCTCAACACAAATGGGAAAGACAGAATGCGTTTTATTGCAATGAATGCTGGCCCCAGAGATCCAATTTTGGACGCACATCTCTGAGGAAGTGCATTAACTCTAATCACATTAGCCCTTGAATTAGGTAGGTTTAATGCAGTTGCCCACCCTATGCGCCTGAAAGATCAGTATGCATTCTGTGAATTGTTCTGAAGCATCTGAACATGTTCATATGCAAATTCAGGCTTGTCAAGCTTGTTTAAGTGTCCTGTTACTGTACATTTCGTCCACTTTCTTTAAGCTGGGAATGTGCTGGTGAGTTTGGTGCATCGATGTGGTCAAGAGTGCCACGACGTCATGACTCACTGTTTTCTCAAGTAATTCAACATGCTCTACCGAAGTGTACAACTAGATGAACCCACCAAAAACCGTGCACCAGGACTACTGCCTTACAGGCGATATTTACCAAAACTTTATTATAAGTCCACTCCCTCCACTGCCTATACTTCAGCGAAGAGGAAATCAATATATCTTCTTAGCTCCTAATGTTTACCATAATGTTCCCCTCCTTTAACATCCATAGCATCATTTACTGTTTGACTGCACTTCCACATATATTACACGTTCACCTCCTCGAAAATAATCAACCTTAGGAAGAACTACATTTGTAACAAGCTCGGAGTAGTCAAATGCAATGGTGTATATGTTTAATTAAAACATTGAAAATGCAATGAATTCTGCCCCCACTAGACTAGTGATTGTGGAAGAGACCATCTCTTAAAGAAAGGTGACATGGGTATGCAAGTAGACACTAGCAGTACAGCAAGCTCTACCGATCTAAGAGGACAGTGGTGATAATTCAAAGGAGTGCAACTATAGTAAGACTTGGGTATCGCCAGGCTTCGGGTCCAGTGGCCTGATACACCGTAGAAATGTCTATATGAGGTCTGTTAAATAAGTATCCAACCTTTGGTGGAAGAAAAAAAAAACTGCTGGCATAATTAGAGTGTTGAAAACCCAATCCCCCTCAAAGTGGTTTCATTGGGACTCCACACACTTCTACCAGTGGTGCTGCCATTGTTGGAAGCATTCTCAGAAGGCCTCTTTCAGAATGAAGTTTAGCTCAGCTGTAGTTGCATCCGTAATGTCATCCCTTGTCTGAAATTACTCCCCTTTCAATGTCCTCTTGTGTTTGAGAAACAGCCAGAAGTCGCAGGGGTTCATATCAGGAGCGTAAGGAGCCTGTTCAACTACAGGAGTCTGACTTTTCGCCAAAGAAGTCTGAAGCAAGTGTGAGGCATGTGCAGGAGCACTGTCGTGATAGATGTGCCAGCTTCCTGTTGACCACAACTCGGGTCTCTTGCGCCGCTCAGCATCATGTAGGCGACGAAAGACGTCCCTGTAGTACTCTTTGATGATCGTTTGACCCTGTGGTGCGTACTCGTGGTGCACCACACCGCACGAGTGAAAGAAAGCACTCAGCATCACTTTGACGTTGCTGTGCACTTAACAGGCCTTGTTTGGTTTCGGTGACGTAGAATGCTTCCACTGTAATGACTAGGGTTTGGTTCACGGGTCGTACTCGTGCACCCAAGACTCGTCATCAGGGATAATCGTGTTCATCAAGTTAGGGTCACTGCTTGTGAAATCCAGCGTGTCCTGTGAGACTTCAACACGAAGTTGCTTTTGCTCCGTGAGCGATTTCGGCAGTAATTTTGCTGCAACTCTCTTCATGGCCAAATTTCCAGTGATAATGAAATGTGCAGAGAAAGTGCTGATGCCTACCTCTTCCACGATTTCCTGGATAGTCACACGATGGTCCTTCATCACCACAGCGTTCACTTCAGCAATGACCTTGTAACTTCGGCATTTTGACGGCCAAACAGAGCGTTGCTCGTTCTCTACCGGTGTGCGGCCGTCTTTGAACTAGTTATACCACTCCCTAATCTGTGTGCGGCTCACAGCGTCGTCACCGAAAGCCGTCTTGATCTTCCAAATTATTTCCACTTGGCTGTCACCAAGTTTCTGCAAAATTTGATGCAGGAGCTCTGCTCCAGTGGCTCCATCATTTTCCTTGTAATGAAAAACTGACGAGAGCACTTTGCACTACCGCAATGAAGCGCTGCATCCCAGTGACCGACGCTATTGGCAGGCGGGAAAAAAATTCATGCATAGGTTCAAGGTCGACTGATGCAAGTGCGCTTGTTTCAAATCCATCAGGCGCTCGCAAAAATAATAATAATAATAAGGTGGGATACTTCTCTAACAAACCTCATACAGTGGACTCTCAGTAAATGGAAATCTGTTAAACAGAACTGATGCTTAAAGGGGCCCTGCAATGCTTTTTCAAGTAGCCATGGAATGAATTCAATAAAAGAGCTTAATGCCTTACAAATTCACAGCAAAATTGTTAGAATCCGTCCAGTACGAGCGGATTTACAAAGATTTGTCGCACAATGCAATCGAATTCTCTCATCTCTTGTCCCAACGAAAGCACTAAAAGCTAAGCAGGGAGGGATGGCACAGGCAAAGAATATAAGTCACGTGTGCCTCGTGGCCTTGAGCATCTTTTATTCAAATATGCGGCTTTTTCAGCGTGATCTCGCGCGCACGCGTTGAAAAGTTACGGATCTTGCGGCGATCCCTGTAACGACCAAGCGCGCCAAGTTGAAATCAGCCAATAGCTGATAGAATGACTGTAACGAGCGATTTTTGAACTTCTTCCATCATTTGTCAAGAAAAGAGAAAGCAGTTTTCAGCGGACTGACAATTTATTGTGCATTCCACATTCCACGCTGTGTGCTGCGCTATAATATTTAGCTCGGGTGTTTTTGGGAGCCTCTACTACAGATTGGCAGCGTTTTCCGACCATGCAGAAAAAGTGTTGCAGAGCCTCTTTAAATTTAACAACTGTCTCTGATATGATTGGTTTTGTCCTTGCATATTGCCCCCCTGTTCATTTCTTAGTGAATGAAACTCCTCCTAAATGAAACTCATTTTCTTGGTCCCTTCAGGTTCCATTAAATGAGAGTCTACTGTAGATGCAGTCTCATTACACAAACCCAACCAGCACAGTGCTCATACTAAGGCAATGAATTGTTCATCATTCAATGCTAAGACCCCATAAAGCTCACAGTTATTTTTATGTTTTTTAGGGGCGAAGCTCCTTATGGCGTGGCTTGGGCGTCCCTCGTATGTAA